CAATATTTAGCCACGCGTTTTGATCTCAATGATAATTATAAAATCTAAATTTCTAAAACGCGTCATTTCTTTTAATACGTATATTCTCAACCCACAAACAATTCTTTATGGTTTAGTACCATAGTGTTGTTTTTATTTGTGTGATATACTTCAGGCAAAGTAAAGCAGATGGTAAACGGATCATATAATAATTCAGAGGGTAATTGATCAAATAAAACCGACCTCCTGCTACAGGCCCAATTTCATTTACTTTTTATATTTGTTTGGCGCTTGTGTGTGTGTTATACAATTCTGATGAAAGTAATGACCCGGGACAGCACGTGAGTCTATATTGTCACCGTATAAAGACAAAAGGGGCGTGTGGGACTCTTCAATAACAAGAAGAAATTCACCGCTGTGTTCGCCCCTATGAAAGCATTTATTCAGTAATAAGGTCGAATGGCCCATTGATACATTTACAAAAATAAATAATTGCTATTAACACGATTTGCAATCTTTTCATGCTACATTCATTGGTAAATTCAACTATCAAAATAATATTCACAATATTACAATACAGTTCTTAATTCAGAATATATCTGATTTATTTTCAATTCCAAAGAAAAGAGTTGTAGGACTCTTGAATGACCAGAACCGATTTACCTCTGTTGACGTAATTTATGTTATTAATAGCATACACTGTTTTATTTGGTAAAGCGCACATTCCCCGGGATTCTAATATTAATGAGAACACCGCTTATTCTAGTAATAAAATCAATACTCAAACAAGACTGGGATGTCACTGTGAACTTGGTCATGTTAACTTTTGTACAACAAAGGCAGTTCTCTGATATTTCATTATTAACATGAAGGTATCTTAAGTAAAACAAGACCGTTCTCTGGGATTTTAATATTACAGATGCGATACTAACTTTAGTAAAGGGGATCACGTGGCTAAGTGGGTAAGACGCTGACACGCTAGCCTGAAGGTCGGGTGTTCGATCCCTGCATTGGCCGAGAAAGTTCATCCAGATTTTCCGGCGTGGTTCCCCCTTGTCAGTGATGCAGGACGGAGGGCCTGACAAGGACAGCTGTCTAGTCCTTCGGATGAGACGAAAACCGAGGTCCCGTGTATACATTGGAATGCACGTAAAAGACCCCTTGGCAGTTGGAATTCGATATAAGAGTAGGCGATAGTGCCGCTGCCCGGGCAAAATTTCCCTCATAGCACACTGTATGACGTATGCCCGTCTTCATTAGCCCAGTATAGGAGCAGAACAGTAGGACGTTAAACCCCATTTCATTTCATTTCATTTATAACTTTAGTAAAACAAGAAAGTTCTCTGAGATGTTTTCGTAGATATCAGAATCACACCTTTATATTTATCAATAAAAATATCAAACTTGTTATAAGTTCAGGATAAACAAAGTTTTTGATTGGGTTGGGTTTTGATTTGTATTTTTATTAATTATTTTTTTTTGCTGGTATAGAGGGGTAAACATCCTTTTTAAGAATCACCACACAGTTTCATTGCATTTATGCATCTATTAATATTATGCATGGAAACGCAAAGAATACATACATGCTTCCAAAACACCGATAAAAACCTGCAACTATATGAAATTAGGGAGCCGCATTGACAAATTATCGAAATGAATCCGAGGTTCGACAAGGTTTCCGGGAATTGTCCAGTGTGATATCCACTTGTTGGTTGTCAAAGGATCATATAGCGTCTACTCGTTCGGATGGTATAAACCACCAGGCCCCGTGTACATATTGGTGTTACGTAAATGGCCTTTGAGTAGGTTGTAGCACAGCTGTTCAGGCAACATTTCCCTCATAGTAAATTGTTTGGCGTACATCCGTCTTTATTAGCCCATTCCGTACTGACATTGGTATAACGCCTTACTGTTCTGACTGGGCTAACGAAGACGGGCATACGCCGTACAGTGTGCTAAAGGGGACATTTTGCCTGGACAGAGGTGCTACGGCCTACTCCTACATGTATATCTAGTTACAACTGACGGAAATCCAACTGTCAAGGGATCCTTTACGTGCATGGGACTGCGATTTCCGTTCCATCCGAACGTCTATAAGTTGTTCCAAGATGGAATCACCCGGGAAAATCCCGATGACCTTTCCCGATATACTGTACATTGGCACCCCTAACGGAACTCAACCCTTTTCATACATTGCTCTTTATTCTATACGTTAAAATACTCTTTAATTTGTTTGTTTTTATTTATTTTATCTTGATGTAAATAATATAAAATAAAGACAAGGAATTTATTTTATTATTGCAAGCTACAATACTTTTTATTATTATTATCATTAATCATTTAGTAAAACTTAGGACATGGAGCCATTTTACTTTATTGTCACTATCCGAATTAGGGATAAACTTACGTAAAACATCATACAAAAATATTGCTAAGTATAATAAGATACCAACCTTCAATATTTTGTATTTTCGTGTAATAATTGTCAAGCCAAATTTACAGACTAAATATTACTTTTTAAAAAAAGTGGCCGTGAATCCCGCCCCAGGGGGTTGAGGCATGCACCAAAATAAATAGTTGCTGTCTTTACGGTATAAGGAAGTTCCAAGATGATCCAGATGATAAACACGAAACTTGGACGTGGCTCTGTACCAAAATCAATGTGTTTTCCTTAGGCTATAATGAATACATATGCCAAGTTTCAAGACGATCCATTAAGAATTGTGGCCTGTAGAAAGGACACAGGCACACAAAGAAAACATGTTTTTGGCTCTGCCCCTGGGGGTTGGGCACCATAGGGATCATCCAACGGGTATAAAGACAAGGTGTGCAAAGTTTCAAAAGGATCTGCTAAAAATTGCAGAAAATGGGCGCGGCTCTGCCCCTTAGGCTCGAGCATGCACCAAAAACAATAACGATGATATAAAGCTCAGTTCATACTACATCCGTATCCATAAACGTATCCGCATCCGTATCCATAAACGTATCCGCATCCATATCCGCGTTTTGCCGTTCAAATAGAAAACGCGAACACGTCCGGCGTTCACGGCTGAATTGTCTGTCAGAGATAACATATGGATTGAGTTTCTATTTGGGGAGATGATGTAATAAGGGGAAAGTACTCGCTGATTGGCTAAAGCTCGGCTCACTAGCCGAAATGCCGGACGCACTTTACAAAAAGACGCTCTGGGAGCAATCAATCCGGCTTAACGGACGCAGTTGTTTTTGTGCGCAAATCGTGCCATATTTTATTTCAACCCTTTCTCTAAAAATGACTAAAGTATACCAGTATGAATTCACGCACGTATTTACAGATACGGATACGAATGTAGTATGAACCGAGCTTTAGGGTATACGGAATTGGTATGCAAAGGTTCAAGATAATCCGTTAAGAAATACGGCCTGTAGACGACAAATACAAAAATGGGTGTAAGGTATAAGGAATACGTATGTAAAGTTTCAAGACGATCAATTACGAATTACGGCCTGTAGGCGACAAACAGAAACACGGACACACACCTATACACACAAAGAGGGGCGACGGCAATATACGTCCATATTATGAATGTGGACGTATGAAAATAATTTGGATTTTAAGCCATAAAATATAGTTTATGGTTCAATAAGCTTCAACAAAATGCCCACGCCACCGTTTGAACATTGTCCTGTGAGGTCGCAGCAACATTTACTTAAAACATAAATCGAACAGAAGCCAACCCACGTGAAAGGCGTCAATACTTTTCTAAACTTTCTCAGAACATACTGTTACTTCAGAAATATTTGCAAGAGGTCGCCGCAACATTTACTTCACATTTAAATCAAACAGAAATTAGCCCGTGTGAAAGGCGTCAATACATTTATAACCATTCTCAGAATGTTACGTGAGAAATGTTTGCATGAATGATTGTATTCATTTAGCGCTATGACGACTAGCGCGATATAAATGGACTTTATTATTATATGACACTATCTGATTGGTTACTTTTCAAATACAATCTTTACTACTTCGTTTACAGTATTTTTAAACATTGATCAAATGAAAAAGAAGAAAAGTATCTTTTATTCTATGACACTATCTGATTAATCACTTTTTCAAAACACTTTTTATCACCTTGGTTACCCAATTTTTAAACATTAATGAAAATAAACTAATTGTATTCCAAAAAAGAGAAAAAAATATCGAAGGAAAGTTCAAATATCAACAATAGCAACATGGGAATGTTATTTCAGTTATTCCCTGATAAATGTTGTGTTATTGTTCTTTTTGTTATATAATTGAAACAAAAACCACGAAAATAAGAACGTGCACATGCATAATCAACCAATTCACCGCCTGTTGGGAACTTTGGATATAAGGATCTAAGGATTTAAGAAGTTATTGAATTAAAGTCTAGACAATATCCTTCAGCTGAAGTATAAGACGAAAGCGTTCGAAGTGACATTGAACTCAAGCGTATGAAACCGGCTCATGTTTTAATGTCTGTTGGGTAATATTTAAATATACTCAACAATAACAACTGTGTATATTATCTATGAATATATTCTACAAAATCGGAATAGATATTTAATACCGTTGTCTAATTTTAATATTAGGGTCATTGTCCCCCATTTTTACACAAATTTATTTCAGAATTGGTATACAATATACACTTTATATATTAATAAATTAGTTCTCTTAACAATCATTTGATTTGAAATAATCATGACTTAACAATTTCAGCCCTCAGTTAGGAATAATTAATCTTTAAGTGGCATTTAGCGATCTCTAAACACATTAACAGAACACAGTTTTTAAAGGATACAATAGAATACAACTAGTGATTGTATCCAATAAAAACTGTGTTCTGTTAAGACATATTAATTAAGGATCATATTTTATTTGTTGTAGATATCGCGGACACCAGAATGTCCAAATAAGATAGAGATTAATCGGAATATATTAGGAATACTAAATTTTATGAAAACAGATTAAAAACAAATTTGGATTTTTTTTTAGAAATATAACAAAAACACATCAGATATAAGCTCTACAGTTATTTATTAAAAAGTTATGCAAAATAACTACACAGAACTGCCAGGTATTGTAAAATGGGAACACAAATATAATATTACTATAGAAGAACATCAAGTTAAGCACATTTTTACACTGATACGACGAATAACTAAAGATTTAATAATGGTAGCCACTGTAATTTACCTAACCAGCCGTTGACATAAAATGAAATTGATTAACTCATTGCTGTGTAATTTTGAAGATATAGACAACATCTTCATTAAATTCACATATTCTCAAATACTATAGCAGAAACTACATTAATAATATATACATAAATATCGCCAGTATAATTAAACACTTGATATCCAGTTTTAATCTATCAAACAACTGTTTCGACAAACCCTTAGTCCAAAATGTGTTTGCTGAAATTTAAAAGACGCATAGTCTACATTCGAAAACGTTATCACATTTTTAAATTGGATTATTTATCCATCTCTTGTGTTTCTTTTATTACTGAATGTTGCCAAATGAGTCAAGAACACGCCCCCCCCCCCCGACCCAACTCCCCCGTCACGTTTCTTGAAATTTCGACGTACACAAAAGGAGAAATTGGTTTGGCACTGAAATACTACCGATTATAGTAACTCTTTTTCTTTCGCTTCAAGTTCTTTTGCCTGCTTCTCCTCCAGTGCCCGTAATCGAAGATCTTTCTGCTTAGAAAAGTGATCAGTATCCATTACATTGGGTTTCCCTTGGCGTTCTTTAACGGCATTAGTGTACATTTCTTGATTGTAAAAGCCATCCTTGTTATCTTTTATTGTTTGTTGAACCAAATCAAATACAGCTTTAATGCCAGGATGACTATCACGGTTATTAATAGCAGTGACTCTACCGTTACATTCGGAGATAAGTGATTTCAATTCTTCTCGGCTTTTCTGAATATGCGTTTCCAAAGTTTGTTCATGATAATCCAAGGAATCCTTACCGGTGAATACAACAACAAGGTATCTAGTAATATCTTCGCCAAACCAATATTTGATATATTTAATTGCGTCAACATCTTCCTGTGTAAATCTATCAATTGTGAGAACCATAATGAATACGTGAGGACCTGGGTGTAAAAGCTCTACACGCCTTGTTAGTTCTTCAAATGTGTTAATAGTTGGAGTTTTGGGGTCAGCAATACCTGGTGTATCAACAATAACTATTTTGGTTCCATCTGCCAATTGGATTGATCCTTGGATATCCTCTGGACTGAGGGCAGTAAACGCTTTTCTCTGAAGCAAACTATTTCCCAGGGAACTTTTTCCCGCTCTTTTGTTTCCAATTAAAATCAGTCGGATCTCTGGGTGGTCTGACATATGTTTTACTTCGCTGGAAATTTTAGAGTGGTGAGACAATTTAATACCTTCTGCTATCGTCAGTATTTTCATTACATCCTGTTGACGGTTACTGATGTTTTCATGGTTATTTATCACGGCTACTCGGCTGTTACATTCCTTCATGAGCTGCTGCAACTGATCTGGAGATTTTCTAATATAGTCATCCAGTGTTAAACCATCGTGTTCCAGCATTTCTTTTTCAGTAAAGACAACTAGTGCGTTGTTCATTACATTCTTACCGAATAGTCTTTTCAGCCTTGTACCAATCTCAAGCTCGTCTGGGGTATACGTGTACTGATATTTTAATTTTATAATAATGGCAAATATGACAGGTGCCGAGATATTGATGCTTGAAACCATTTGATGGGATAATGGATTATCGCAATTATCGATTATTCCAGATGTATCCACAAGAAGAAGGTTCGCTCCATATCCTTGAGTTGCTGCCATATAACACGAGACCAAAGACGATGTTTCTGGTGACCTTGATTTAAATGCATCACTATTTAACAGACTGTTTCCCACAGAACTTTTGCCCATTCCTTTACTGCCAACCAGTATTAATTTGATTTCTGCAAACAAAAATATAACGAAATTATAAGAATTCTATAAACACAAATATAATGAAATAATATACAAGAATACTGAGAGAGCAATATACAACTCAGGGATATCTAGAAGTCCAATAATAAAGTAATGGGTTAAGCAATGTAGCTCCCGTTTTTGTAATAATGACAAATTTAGAGAGAAAAACTAATTAAAAACCAGACCAATATATTGTAATATACATCTTTTAGATAAATTCCAAGAAGTTAATTATCAACAAGATATTAACCATCTCAATAATCGTCATCATCCTCATCAAAATTAGTTTATTATAAAAAAAATGGTTCCTTTGCTCGACCATTATTTTTGTATTTTAATTTGGAAATTCAAGTGTAGTCTGGACATAATTGCCTTCATAGCACACCGTATGGCGTATGTCCAACTCCATTAGCCAGGTAGGTACAAAAACGTGGGACGTTAAACCCCATTCATTCACAGATCGATCTAATTCATCAGCATAGTACAAGCATCGCCATCTTCTGCGTTGACATTGTCTCAATCATTATCGCAGTCAGATCTTTTTGTCAAGAAACAATTGATAATTCTCCTGCATTCCAGTAAAGATTACTACTCCGCGGCGCGGACAACGTTGATCACAACGAAGAAAATATAACGTTTACATAATGCGCTGGATTTGGTTCAACTGCATTCAGGAATATATTTATAACTAGCCATAATCGCTCACCTACGATCACTTATAAGTTTCAGAAACGGCGGCGGTCAAAAAAACGGATAGTAACCTAACATAGTTTATGTTTGCGGAGATTTAAATAAATCTTTTTAAATACATACGGTGTCAGAGTGCCATATACAATACTCTTAGTAGATTGATTCTCTTGCATTTATTCAGATTAATAAATTGATATATTTAGCAAGTTACACGAAAACAAAGGAAGTCACAAATACAGAGTCGAATTGATTTGTGGAGAATATCGAATAAATAATTTATGAACACGAACAACAATTGTCTGTCATTCACAATTTCGCGTACATATTTAAACGTAACGACAACTTCGAACTTCAGGAAACCCTAGATTTATTGGGGTGGATCAGCATTTCTGTGTAATAGTAGTTTTCAACACGAATCTTTTTCTGTAATCATATTAACAAACCATCTAAACAAACTGGATATCATTTAATCTTGTCAGTGTCAATGTAAAGTTGAAAACCTTTTGAACCAATTATTACATCATTGGTCATAATTCGATAAAAGATTTCCCGATGACATAACTGAATTATTACAATAGTTTAATTCAGTGCGACATTTATGTGAAATACTTAGTATTTTTGGGGTAGTGACGGAACATAAAATAATTAACGTTAATTAAACGGAACCGACAGCAGGATATGGCATTAAATTATATAAACAAATTAATAAACAATTTATAGATTTACTTTTCAAAAGACCCTGAAATTAATGAAATTTCAAATAAAATGTATGGAATTGTAAAAGTTATCTTTAATTTGAAAAATACAATAATGTCTAAAATAGTAGTGTTCAAATACTTTATTATATATCTACTTGGCTGAGTCATTCTTAATTAGAACCCAAGAAACATTGTTGATGAATTCCTAATGTGTGATATTATTGCTTTGAATTAGAAATGTATACCAATCATCTCAGAATGCTTTGTTTGTATTGTCACCAACTTAGTGCTGGATATATTAAAATTTAACTTTTTCTGTTTTCTATTTTATTACATTATATATTTGTCTTTTAAATAAAGTATAGGTACTTGTAATTGTAATATATATTCTTATATAATTTTGGAAGTTATGATGGTTTTGTGTGCAATTACACTTATAATTCTGAATGGTTATGGTGAGAGAGAATGCGAGAGAGAGAGGAGGTGTGTGGGTGTGTGTGTGTGTGCGTTTGTATATGGTGTATATCGAGGACACACATCTGAATACACACCTTCTAATCGTGGACCTGTGTCAACCGAGTACGTCCTCGGTTGAACCGAGGACTTTTTTTTAAACTAAATCCAAGACTATAACGATGTTCAGAAGCCCGGATTTAATATCTCATTTGAATGTCGGGTCGATCTGAGGTGCTCCGCGTTAGGCGGTATTCTACAGTTAGGGTGTATCTTTCGAGTGTGTGATCTGAAAAATGAAAAGTATGATTTTGTGTATCAAATCCTCGGTTAGTGTTTATTGGACAACTAGCGTATCAAGTCCTCGGTTGATCTACGTCTACCATACACATCATAATATGGTCACATGGGAGAAATAAGTTGTTATTTCAACGATAATGAAAGCAAGTTTTACTATTATCATCATCATACCTTTGACAAAACACCAGATGACCTGTACAGGAAAGCCGTTCGATGTTAAAAAATCAAGCCATCTAGTCATTATATCACTTCTGAATGAATTTTCGAAGTTTTTACCTGGCGTAACGTAAAACATTATTGCCGAAATAATAAGGATAAAATAATAAGTAATCAACAATTGAAATATTAATAAGTTGCGTAAGTTCAAGTAGTGACACTTGTTAGCGCGTGTTACTGTTAAGCCTAGTTTTATATAATGCCTAGGTCCCACTGGGCATCGCGATCCATGCGGATCCATCTGGAAAGCGCCAGGAATGCCTCCACGGCCAGTTTTCCCAACGATAAGTAGGGAACACATCGGTAAAAATTCCAATGCAAGCTTTGAAATTTTTCGCAGTTCTCCCGGACAACCCCGAATGCTTAACTTCCATTTCTCACGGGACTACTCCGTTGTTTGGGGAAAAATTTGTTTTATTTCCATATCGCCGATGATTTTCCCCCAGTGGGACCTAGGCATTAGTTCGTCAAACGTTAGTGATCAGCTATTTTCCAAATTGTACAAAAGAACTCAATATAAAAGACTAGGTTTTGTTATTAACATTTTTATCCACACATCTTAAATAAGAATAGGTCCCCATACACCACGGTGGAAGCGGACGTAAAATACAACTAACAAACAAGAACAACATACATGCCCTTTGCGCACTACAGACTTGAGCCTTTCGTTTCAAGTAAATATCTTGAAAGTTCACGTTAGTGTTTTAAAAATTCAAGTTAGTATCTTGAAAATTCAATCTAATATCAAATTAATCTATCAAAAATTTGTTTCATATCTCTCTCAAAACATTGTATTCGGGAGGAAGGACCCCAAGATGTAAAAATCTAATTTTAAAAGCCATGTTTGTTACGTAACTTAATTGAGAGAGTGCCCATTTTCAGAATGTATTTGTCGTTACTTGTGTACATTAAACTATAGTTTAAATTCTGCCCATCGAAATATTGACATCAAGCGAAACAAACAAAGTACAACAATGTAACATGGCGGGGGTGTAGTATGTGGGTAGTTTTTTTTTTAATTATTGGCCATCGCATTTGGTGGCTTTCTATGTTCTGACCTGTTCGAGCTATTTATTGGTTATGTAACTAAGACAGTAAACAATTCGATTACACAATGGTCCTCTTTTAGTGGGTATTAAGTAACTGTTAAATGTAGGCTTTATTTATATTAACATTTCGTCACAAATCTGAATTATCATACTGCTTATATACACGTATAAGCCTTCGTATTTTCCATAAATTCAGTGGCATATTGTTGAACAAGTTTCACTCATCAAAGTTTGTTTCCAAAGTAGCAAATTCTTATATGGGTTCAAATCGCAAAACCAACTGGACTAGTTTCTTCTGTAGTATTTCAGTTTTTATTCTCTCTATAGGTAGAGAAATATAATAGCCAAGGATTTCATATCGCATTTCACATTACATTGCAAGGGATATCTGGATCATATAGCCAGTTATGCTTGTCAGTTAATGATACAGAGTTAGGAAATGGTCGTCGTAATTGCCCCGAGCAAATATAGAGGACTGTTACAAATTAAAAGTCTTCCTAAAATTAGCATACTGTCCCAAAATTTATATTGCTTTTATTAATTTCACTCCACATTTGGTTTGTCTTCTCGTTATTTGCGTTTTATTCGTCTGATTTATTATCTAAAACACTATGGTTTAAGAGCAGATAAAATGGTCATATCAAAATCGTTTGTACTTAAAGCCAGTATATATTATAAATGAAATGAAATGAAATGGGGTTTAACGTCCTACTGTTCTGCTCCGAACTGGGCATATGCCATACAGTGTGCTATGAGGGCAATTTTGCCCGGACAGCGGCACTACGGCCTACACTTATATCGAATTCCAACTGTCAAAGGATCTTTTAGTGCACGCCAATGTGTACACGGGACCTCTTTCTCGGCCAATGCAGGAATCGAACACCCGACCTCTAGGCTAGCGAGCCAGCGTCTTACTCACTTAGCAACGTGATCCCCGTATATATTATAAATACGTTAGCCAATTGTACACCAATCTGATTAATATTATGATCGTGCGGCGGCGTCCATGATGATCAACAAACTAAACTTGATTACCTAATCAACAACCTAAATCTCCTCGCCACAAGATGCTTATCAATTGGTGAGATTACCAGGAATTATTTGTCTTGACAAATCTAGACCGAATTGAAAAAAAAACACCTACAAATACAGGATCACTCTAAATTAAGTTTTCTTCCATTTTCTGAACAGTTGGTAAAAAAATGTTATTTTCTTGGTGATTGATACGTGTTTTATCACCCAAAATAACAAAATATGTCATATCATATCTTACAGCGCTAGCTTTAAAATGGGCATTTTATCATATTCAACGCTCTTAAAAGAGTTTGTTACATTCTTTGCTTCAGTTTCATATGTGCATACAACATTTTCGATAAAGATATGTTAGGAGTTCTTGAAGCTTGGTAAATGCAAATATACTTTTCACGTTTTTATATAATATATGACATGCTTTCATATACCTTACCAGTGTCGGTATTACGCGGCTTTAATAAAATTTTAATTATCCATAATTATCCATGAAGCGAATCGAGGACAACATATTTGGGGACTTTTTTTTTTAAAAAGGTAGTGATTTTTAGACAAATAAAAAAACCCGGGCAATTTGGTGCAATATTTCAGAGAAAGAGAAGCAAGAAATGAAAGACAGTCGTGCAGAACGAACAAAATAAATTTCTTTAAGCTGGTAGTGATTTTTAGACAGATAAAAAACCCGGGCAATTTGGTGCAAGAAATGAAAGACAGTCGTGCAGAACGAACAAAATAAATTTCTTTTAGCTATTTGAAACTGGGTAAAATGCAAACTTTTATTATGTTTTTATATATTAATGGTTATTTTAATTATTAATATACTCAGTGCACCTTATGACAGTTTATATAAATGACACTCAGTTGTACACAAATTGCACATTTATTGTTTCTAAACAATGACGACCAGCTGGGCGAAACGATATCCAAAACATTCTTAAAAAAAATAGTTATATTTAAAAATTTTCAACTAGTCAGGGTAGGCCTTGAGTCTGATTTATAATCGTGGGAACGTGTAGTATTATGACAACCCATAAATGAAATGAAATGGAGTTTAACGTCCTACTGTTCTGCTACTCTGGGCTAATGAAGACGGGCATACGCCATACAGTGTGCTATGAGGGAAATTTTACCCGGGCAACGGCACTACGGCCTACTCTTATATCGAATTCCAACTGCCAAGGGATCTTTTATGTGCACGCCAATGTGTACACGTGGCCTCAGTTTTCCGTCCCATCCGAACGACTAGACAGCTGTCCTTGTCAGGCCCTCCATCCTGCATCACTGACAAGGGGAAACCACGCGGGAAAAGAACCCAAAAAGCGGAAAGCTAACTAAACAATAGCAATATTGCAATTTTATACAGAATTTCGGTTATTGATCTGAGAGCCCCCCCCCCCTCCAACCAAAAAAGGAAAAGAAATTGCCAATAGGAAAGCAGGGACAGATCCCCTCTATATCCACGTATAGCGCGATTTTGTTTGTTACATAATTCCCATCCGTCGGCTTTTCGAGTAGAAATCGTGGAATAATTTTGAAGGTTTTGGTGTTTAATGACAAACAAACCAGTGTTGACATTTCTTTCTGAGTAGATCTTCATTATGGTGGTTGTTAGCGGCCATTCTATATTCTCGACACGACAAGCCGAAATAATTGCATGTGACAAGTCGACAAAATCTAATCGACAATCGCCGCCTTCATTTCGTCGATTTGTCGCCTTCGACAATTGCAATTAAATGGTGTTTAACGTTTCACTGTTCTTCATCGACAGGACCAGTGAAGACAGGCATACGTCATACAAATGAAATGAAATGGGGTGTAACGTCCTACTGTTCTGCTCCGACTGGGCTAATGAAGTTGGGCATACGCCATACAGTGTGCTATGAGTGAAATTTTACCCGGACAGCGGCGCTACGACCTACTCTTATATCGATTTCCAACTGCCGAGGGATCTTTTATGTGCACGGCAACGTGTAAACGGAACCTCGGTTTTTCGTACCATCTGAACTACTAGACAGGCCCTGTCCTTGTCAGGCCCTCCGTCCTGCACCACTGACAAGGGGTAACCTCGCCGGAAAATCTGGATGAACTTTCTCGGCCAACACCGGGATCGAACTCGCGACCTCCAGTCTTACTTACTTAGCCACCGTGGCTCCCCATACGCCATACAGTGCCCATGAGGGAAATATTGCCCCGACAGCGGCTCTACAGCCTACTCTTATATTGAATTCCAACTGACACGGTATATTTTACGTGCTCGCCAAAGTATACACGGGGCGTGTTTTTTTCGTCCCATCTAGACCACCATGCGTTGATGCGCGAGCTTGCGTCTGACTCACTGAGCCACTGTGGCTATCCAATTTCAAATCAAGACAAACAAATATTTACCCAATTAAAGGTTTACCCTCCAAGTAATACTGTATTCGAGCGAGCATACGATATAGTAGATGTGGCTATTATAGTATGATTGGTATAAATGTATTGGCACCTTACTCGTATGTCTGCAAGAAACAAAATTACACCATTTCGCTAGCTATAATCCTCCTCTCTCTTTCGTCTTTTTCGTTAAAGGTGTGGAGCCGTTATAACCTACAACCCAATCGCCTAATTAAGTATACTCCCCACCCCATTCATTCAGAAGAGATAACATAGAAAAGGGGTGTTGAGAGCTGATCACCTAAATTATCAAATGATCTTTTCCAAAGCAGTAACTTGGAAAGGCATTGTTTTTTTTCGAAAAGAAAGGATATATTTTTTTAAGATATAATATGTACCTAAATAATTATCTTTTGTATAATATATTTTTCAAATACAAATTATTATAAACTATCTTTGCGCCGAGTTTTGACATGGGGACTTTGTGTTTGTTGAACGCCAAC